TATATGTATGTATATGTATGTATATGTATGTATATGTATGTATATGTATGTATATGTATGTAGGCAAGCATATGTAAATATAACGGGGTGCCATGTATATATATATATATCAATAAACAGCATAAACAGCATAGTCACTGAACATAATAAGCATGATAGCTGATAGATAGCAACCATAATAATTACTAATGATTTTTCTTTAAAAAAATGATAACTAAATAAATGCGTGTATATACATATATATATATGTGTGCAAAGCTATTTTCAACCCAAGTGAGAAGGATACCCAGCAGATATTAGAATGTTGCAAACTGTAAATATTGGTACAGTACTTGAAGCCTCCCAGGAGTTCGGGCAAGTCCAGGTATTTGTTAGTTTCAGGGGTAAACCATCTTGTTTTGCAGCAATCATGTTTCGAACCACGGAACCAACTGATTACTGTATGAGTTGTCATCCATATTTCAAAGCCATTTATCATTCTGGTGGGACTCGCCTGATTTTCTTTTAATCTTCGACTGCAGATTGTGTTCCCGACGGGAAAATGGGCCTGCAGCCCATTCCGACGTCGTACGTCCTAGACCGCAATAGCAGTTGACCATAAATAACATCCCAGTGATACAGATACTCTAGATATTATAGGTTGTAAAAAAAATTGGTCCTAGATATGACCCCAGTAACCAATGCTTGAGAGCACATCCACCAGTCAATTCTGGCTTCTCAGCAAAATCTTCTGCCATGCGCCGACTGATGTAGGAGAAAGCCAAAAAGGGCGATGAAGTTAAGGAGGACAAGGAGGACAAGAAGGAGGACAGCTCGACGGGATGTTTTCATCAGCTGACCATCCACCATCAGTTGAGCGGGCTATTTCAACATTTAGAGTAGTTAGGCATGATAGGCTGAAGACAAATCCAAGATGACCTTAGATGACCTATATTATATAAGTATGTATTCAGAACATCAGAGATGCAACTGCAGGAGAATGGCAAGGATGAAGAGATGAAGGAGGCCTTCTTCGCCACGAAGATCATTGTCGTTGCTGTCGTCGTCATCAACGTCATCAACCGTCACCACCACAATCACGGCAAGTTCCCCTTTAAAACTTTGTCCACATCATCCTTATCTTGTTAGGTTAATATGGTTCACGGTTATATATATATATAACATGTGTAACCATCTTTGATCTCCTCATGGTCCTCCTTTTGTTGTCTTGGAACCAGGCCAATTAGTGGTAGTGCATAGTGCCAGGAGAAGGAAGTGAAGCCTGAGGAGACCGAAGAAAAAAATGGTGAAAAACCTGAAGCAGCAGAGGCCGTGGGGAACACTGCAGGGAATGCTGGGGTGCCAGTTCACTTCCACTGTTCTGACGGGTAGTTCGGATTGGATTGACAGATGTCAAAGGCTCTTAGCCCTGGCAAATGCTGCCGAGTAATTCAACATGGAAAGTTTCACGCGAGCAAAGCAGTGACGAGAAAAGGCATCCTCAGTACCCCTATTGTCATGGAATATTCCTCAGTCATGGAATGCTAGTGTCAAGTTGGGATATATAATACATTGATAATACACCCCTTTTATATAGATCCTACTAGAAAATCCTATGTGTTCCGAGTTATTTTCGGACGTCTTTAGCTTCATTTGCTCGGCAGGAGGACGAGCCGATGAAAATTGATGTGTGGAACCCAAGCCAGGGGCGTAGCCCATTCTGGGACAGACCCAGTTGGTTCACTACCACTTGCTCCCACAATAGTATCATATTGAGCAAGCAAGAACATTGTTGGAAGAGAACAAGGATAGGAAGTGGACTTGGGATGAATAGAAATAGCCATTTCTATTGGGATTATTGGAAGTACATATGATATATATATATATATTTATACAGATATATAAATATGTATGTATGTAACATACATATATATATATACATACACATATTTATGTATGATAAATAGGGCACCAGCCACTTGAGCAATGTCCTTTTCAAGCAACAAAGCTCTAGACAGTGTGTCCGAAACTTCGAAACGCCAGGCCGAGTCTTTGGATCCTTTTGCCGTGGAGGCGCTGCAATTAACCCATGATTAACCTATGAAAACCATGGGAAAACCATAGGAAAATGCTGGTTTAATGGGATTTTATGGGGATTTACCCTCTGGTAAACAAACATATCTATTGAAAATTGCAATCTATTAGTGAATGTTCCCATTAAAAATGGTGATGTTCCATGGTTATGTTAGCTGACCAGAGGGTATTTATAGTTGATTTAAGAATGCGTGTTTTGATTATGTATGTATATATATATACATATGGCGATAATAATTGATAATCAATGATATTAGTAATGATGTATGTATATGTATATCAATACATATGTACAACTAAATTATACATACATATTGAAGAATGCAGAAGAAAGCTCTGGACACACAGCCTGCTGTTGGGATCCATTGAGGCTACTTTGGTGTTTATTCACAGCAATATCGGTCAACACATGGGAGACGGGGCGGTCATAATGGAATGTTATTTTGTGCATAGTTTTTCAGTGTTTTATAGGATCTATGAATACTACGAAATTGTGAACTATCTACATATATATATACACAATAATACGTATGTGTGATATCCAAAGAGCTAGGGCACTTTCCAGCCAGTCAGGTTAGAGTACGGGTGAACCACTTACCAGGATGCGATGGACATCGGCAGCGGCGAACCCTTGTTTTTCAACTTCGCGTTCGAGGACTCGTTGAATTCCCGTCCCACCACGGCAAGAATGGTTTGTTCGTTAATTGTCACATGGTTTTGGGCGGATTGACGATTTGATACGATTTAGCCTTGCTTGCATTAAGACAAAAGTTGATCAATGTTGATCATATGTGGCCTAGACCATTCAGATATTCAGTATCTACCTATATCATCCGGTGTTTCATTTAGAGTTTTCTCAGCAGCAGTCAACATTCCATTCTCGCCGACCCCGGGCTCAGGATTGGACCCTACTGAGTTTGCGCTTTGAGCGGG